AAAGAAAATAAAAAATTTAAATAATAAATATGGATATGCAAGGTAAGAGAAAATTTAGGTTAAATTAAGATGGTATTATTGAGGATTAGAAATAGAATGCTTAAAATTTGAAAGTGTCATAGATTTTAAAGTTGGTTTTAGTATGATCTGGGAGTTTATTCCATAATTTAGTAGATCGGTATACAAAATTTCTTTTACCTTGCATATTATTCCAGGTGTATTCAATTAGTGTATTTTTACTTTGACTGCGAGTACAATGCGTATGCAAATCATAATTAAAAACAAAATTTTTCAATAAATATGATGGAGCATGACCATTTAAACATTTGAAAATCATTATGAGCAATTGTTCGTCCCATTTATCACAGAGTTTGCTCCACCCTAACGAACTTAAAATATTTACAACTGGGGTTTTTATGTCTGCAGAAAGTAAAATTCTTCCTAATCTGTTTAAAAGTATTTGAAGTGAATTTGAAAGTTTAATATTACAGTTGGACCAAACACAATTACAGTAATCAAAAAGAGGCATAACTAGAGCGTTAGTCAACATCCTTAGAGTATTATGGGGTAAAAAATATTTAATAAGGCAGATCACACCGATGCGTTTAGAGACGTTACCAGTTAATTTTTCAATATGTTCAGACCATGTTAATTTAGAATCAAACACAACTCCAAGATATTTGAATGAATCAACTCTGTCAATAGTCATGCCATTATAAAATAATGAAATATTTGAAAATTTAGGTAAAATTGCATTGGTTCCAAAGATTTAGTTTTTTTAATATTTAATGTAAGTTTATTTTTATCAAACCATTCAGCAACTTTGATTAAATTTGAATTTAGTTCATTTTGGAGAAGAGTGGGATCGGAAGAATTGCATAAAATGGTACTGTAGTATCGTCTGCATACATTACACATTTACATTGAGTGACATTTGGTAGGGAATTAACATAGATAATAAATAACAATGGGGCTAGAATGGACCCTTGGGGAATACCAATGTTAATTTTCATTGGGTCAGATAGGGTTGAATTAATTTGAACAATTTGAGACCTATTATTAAGATAAGAAATGAACCAATTTAGGGCAGATTTCTGAATTCCACAGTCATTAAGTTTTGATATGAGGAGTTTGTGATCAATTGCGTCAAAGGCCTTTTTCAAATCTATAAAGATGGCTGCAGTTGCTTTGCTTTCATTTAAATTATTGAGATTATAAAACATCAATAAGGGTAGTATTTGTTGAATGTTTTTTCCTAAATCCAGATTGGGATCCATTCATAATATTAACTCTTGTCAAATAATCATATAATTGTTGGTGTACAATAAAATGGTAGTATCGTCTGCATTACTAGTTACTTGGTTACTAGTGGTAGGATGGATATAGGTCTGCAATTGTTTGGATCGGCTTTGTCCCCCTCTTTGTAAATAGGAGTGACCCTTGCTTATTTCCATTCAAGTGGAAAAGTTGATGTCAATAGTGACAGATTAAATAAATAAGCAAGTGAGTGACAGATTAAAGGTGCTGCCAATTTTAGAAGTTTACAGTCTATACCATCCAGTCCACTAGCCTTATTGTTAGATAGTTTACAAACTTCATCAAACACAAAATCAGGTGTAATAATATCAAAATTGAAAAGCTCATAATTAGTATTAAAAGTTGTGTTAGTAAGGTTAGTAGAGGGATTAGGAAAAACCTCATTTTCTTTTAATTGTTTTCTAATTTCTCTATTGTCTAAGTTCCCCTTAAGGTACGTTTTAGTAACAATAATAATAATAATAATGTTAGACTTATATAGCACTTAATGCCAACAAGGCCTCTAAGTGCTTCACATTATTACCCCGTCATTGGATCAAGCACATATGGAACACATACTCAGCTCCCTGGGGAGAATTCCATAATGTTGCAGTTCTAATCAGTCCATTTTATATCCATAAATAGACCATATACATTTTGTGTTTGAACCTATGGTACCCACTCGTACTTCTGGATGGATAGAGACAACTGTAGGTAACGTGCCTTGTCCAAGGAAACAAGTGAAATCACAGTAACAGATTGAACCTCCAACCTGAAGGTTGAGAAGCAGCACCATAAGAGCCAACTGCTCCTACGAGCGAAATTTAATGAGCAGCGGAAAAGGAAGCATCTTAGCTTTTGCATGGTGAAAACACTGTTTGCACATGGAAGACTTTTTTCTCACCTTTCCCACTCGATGTTGCTTTTTGTGTGAGGATTTTAATTCAGACTCCAGTTCGCCCACATGGTTGTTCATAATACGAATAGTTAAATGTAATATCTCCCACATGTACATGCTTGTAAACTGATCTCTCATCTCCACAGAAAACAGCCAATTTACCACCGAAGCACATTCGACAATCTGTGTCCGCAGCATCTTGTCAACAAGTACAATTATCATCTAAATAATGAAAACAACATTTTTTTAATCTGCACTCATTGAAATGCCAGTCATGAAATGTTTGTGTAATAAATTACAACAAAATGAAATGGTAATCCACATTGTAATTACAATCAGCAGTGATGCCTGGGCTGGACAAATCATGGAATAATTAGTTGACAAATTGATTATTTTTTTAGGTAAGTATCATGGTGGAAACTGGCAAATATCCATCTATCCAGGTAGATATTCACACAATGGCGCAACACTGATGCCAGGGGCCCTATGGCTTTTTAAGACCAGGGGCCCTTTTTTAGGTCCCGGTTGGCAATTCCATTGTGGGATTTTAAATGTGCTTGTTCTTTTATAATGTTATTCATTGTATTATACATGTTTTTAATGACAAAATAAATGATATGATAATATTGGTAGATCCAGGTATTTAAAATAGACGGGGGTCACAGGGTGATTTTCACAGATAGAGGGCCTACACCACCACAGCCTGACCATGGTTGGAGCTGAGGTAAAAAAATTATGATTAATGACACCTCTAGATGGCCGGAAATGGCTGTCACAGACTTAAAATTTGAATATAATTTTCCTTTTATCTCCATTTTTATTGACAGACAGGAGAAGGGGTGGCTGCCCACCACCCGCCCCACCCTTTTATCAGTCACTGGTGTAATATGATATATGTCCTACAGTCGATGTCTGACACATTATGCTGTTATGCATCAAAAAAGCTCTTTTGGGTCAGGGTGGTAGATTGAAGAACTTGGGGAGCGCATAGGCGTTACGCCACTGTATTCTCAAAATAGACAGCGTAATCAATTTTCAAATCTATACTATTAATGTTGGTGTAACCCAACCATGCAAAACATTTAAAATAAGTATCATATTATGGGATTTCATTTACTTTTCTGATTCCATAACATAAAAAGTATGGACAGGTAGATAGGCCTATGTAACATTGGTTTACCTGTTCATGGTTACACCAAAGTTCATGTAACATACGCAGGATATAAACTTGAGCTTCTTGAGAATCAGCCAATGATTTCAACACTGGATAAAACCTACAAAGTAATTTTTTTACATTCTCATTCAAAAGTTAAACTGGTAACACAAATATTTGATCTGTTATATGGCATTAAATTATGTTTTAGAACCTAGGAAAGGGAGAAACATATCCTCAGGCTTAGATACATTTAATAACACTGGAGAATAGATAAATGTTGTATTGTCAGAACTTACTTTGCAAGAGCACTGAAAGAATGTGAGAATGATTTGCTGCCCAAGTTAAACAATGTCTGCACAAACACATCAATTTTTACAGGATTAAATCCAGAATCGTCTAAAAACAATAAATCAAATTATAAATTTTAATATAAATTTAATGTCCATTGAATTAATGTTTTCATTTTCTCAATTATTTAATGTGATATTATATTAATAATAATAATCATAATAATATTAATAATAATAATAATAATAATGTTACACCTATTTGGTGCATAATGCCGGAGCTTCTATGCACTTTACATACACACAAAAGAGAGAAAAAAAAAGTAACAGAGTGAGAAATGACTAAAACAAGAAAAAAACCACAAATTAACCATGTAAAAACAAAAAACACAGTAAAAAAATAGGAATGTATTGCATAAAATCAAAGAAGCTTGAAAGAAAACTTCATCTTGAGTTTGCATTGTATCTGAAAACATCAAATACCTATTAAAAATTACTTACCGTCAAATGCATATTCATCTTTGTTTGGGTTAGGGGTGTCTTTGAGTAACTTGATGACATCGTCGGGTGTGGCCCTCGATTTAAATGCATCAATCAACTGATGGGCCATCATGTTGCCAGGCAACTGACCTAATGAAAGACATATATACAGCATATTAACAGAAATTCAAAAGACAATATGGGGATTGCACTAAGCAGAAATCACTGAGTAAAAAGGTATTAAGTAACACTTCATTCCAATAGCTAGGACCTCCTCACTGTCTCCATTATTCCCCCTATATAAGCTTCACACCCCATCCCCACCATGCATATGCTATTGGATAAGCCAATGATCAGAGCAGTCATCAATCATCCATGGAACACACCCTCTATTCTATAATGTTACAGCATAATTGACTGCACTTACTTGCCCCTTCAAGTTTATATTTGTACACTGGTTTTGGTTCCTTTGGGAACAGTAGGCTAAAGCTCTCTGGAACATTATCCATGATTCGCTGGTGGTAAGATAATCGCCGGCACTTCTTCAGTACCTCCTTGATGAACTTTGGTTTTGGCAGCTCTGGGTCAGAGTTCAAACAATCAGTCCTGTACAAAATAATATTTTTTATATATATTTTTTATATGTGTTCTTTTGGTAAAGCAAAAATGAGGGATGTTGGCTTGGATAAACTTTGAAGAACAACATCCTAATGTACACTATTATAAATATATATATGATGTTACATGATGTGTATACTAATAAAAGTTAATAATAAAATTCAATTTTTTTCTTGGTATATTTAGGTGAGAATTTTTTTATACCTTGTTTCGAAAACTTAATTTTTTAAAGATTGTTAGAGGAGGGCGTGAGAAAAAATAAAATTTTGTTTTCTTATTTAGCAAATAGTCTTGCAAAAAACATTCAGACAGAGAAGAAAATAAAAACATGTTATTGGCCAATGTACACAGTGTAGTAATGGTATGTTGGCAGTGGCAGGTGAAATAAAAATAAAGAAAATCTATTGTTTTTTTTCTGAAATTTCCAATTTTTTCGAAAGCAAATTAAAAATTTTTTTAAATGCTTGTGTTTTCAACTTACCAATCATCCCAACTCCATCGGAACTGGAAGTTGCTTAGATGGTGAGCAAACCAGTTAATAAAGCGATCGATAAGGCTAAGGTTCATTGAATCCAGACGTTCAAACATCATCTCTGCTGCTTGGGCAAGCTTGTATGAAGTTAAGGGGTCATTTTGAAATGTTTCATTTTCCTTTAACTTATCGTTAGTTAGTACGTACTTAGGGTAGCTAGTGAAGGATCTAAGGGTTCCAACCATTTAAGTACAGAGCACATCAGAGCCTGAGGTTAGCCATTTTTTAAATAAAACTAAACCATCTGGGCCTTGGGTAACACTTTTTCGGAAATAAGTGTTAGGTCATTTAAAACCTACAGCACTTTTATTAGGATTTAACCATCCAAACACTGGGTTTACGAGGAGTTAAGAATTACAGATTCAGCCATGCTCATATTGCTAGGCCTGTTAGAAAATAGGGATTAACTTTGTTATTACATCATCAAGATGAAATCTTGTGACAGGTAGCTTGTATTTTCATGGAGTGAGGAACAGGTTTCATATTAAAAATGGTTCACTTTAAATAGTGTATTATCATTTTCCCACTGCTTCTTCATTATAAAAGTAAAGGAAACTTTAATTCTTAATCAAAACATATGAAGGAACTAAAACAGAGAGAAAACAAAAAATTGAGGTACATACTCCAAGAATTGAGGTATGTATTATACTTTCTTATCCAAGATTAATAAGTGGACCTTTTGGTTTTAGATACCAACAAAGGATACAACTTGAGGCAAAGAGCTGGGCTGGAGCTTGCAGAGTTCCAGGAACAAGGTTGTATAGAAGATCTCAATGCGAGGTGACGATGGCAGCCGGAAGAACTGAGAGAAGAGAACCTCAACAATCATGTAGTTAAGAGGCACCTTGTGCTTTGCATGAAAGCTGACTAGCTGGGCAGCACTATAAAAAAGCCAAAATGAAATGGTGTTAACTCATTGTCATTATTGGGGCTCTGCAACAAGTGATTTTCAGCACAAACTTATTTTTATCTTTTCTTGTTTAACATGGTTGGTCGTCAGTGCCATTACTATATTCATTAACTCTCCTTTTCCAAGAGTATTACCAACAGATTATTTTTTTTTCAAAACCTGAACTATCCTTCCTTCCGTTGTCAGTAGTTCCATATTTCTTACTCTCTCCTTGTAAAATGCTACACTCCATAGTCACGTCTTTATAATCCTGGGGTTTTTTCAACTCTTCATTTATAATTAATTATCTCATCTTAGTTATTTATCATCATTATTTCATTAATAATTACATATTTCATATACATTAAAGTGTAGAGTTACTTCTACCACTTTTTAGATGTATACTGATTATTACTGGCTCGCCCTTAATTACGAATGAGGCTTACCATTCTTTTCTCTCTTTCCAGAAGTTTTCAATGATGATTCCCAGGTGATCCTCCACTAAATAGCGTTCGACAGAATGGATACCAGGTAAGGTGGGAGAGCCCTAAAAATGGGATTGGTTGTTATAAATCAGTTGTATAATTTAGATTCCAGTACACAGTCGATGTTACTCAAACTCTGTGATCCCCTTTAGAAAATACAAATGCCTAGGACTTTGAAATTGATTTCCAATTTTGTCTTTGGAAAGTTTAAATGAAAATATTATTATTATTATTATTATTATTATTATTAGCCTAAGGCACTAGCCACCTGTGAAGTGCCCAAAGGCTCAAAAATACAAATATCAGGCAAATTATGCTTAAAATATCAAACTAGGTATAAATACTATCATAATAGTATAATAATAGTAAATTGTAGTGTGTTTTCTACACAAGCTTTGGTGTAAAGTAGTAGTAATGATTCATTGTCTAATACAACATTACCTCAGGAACATCAGTGTAGTCAAACATCCTGAACACAACTTTAGGGGGTTGATATAAAATTTCTGGTGAGTGCAAGGGAAGGGTAAACTTTGGTAGGGTATGTTGCAGGGCCTCTGACATGACTCCATCAAATGCTAGGTATGGTCTCTGTATAATCTTCTCTGTCCATTTATCTCGACGCATCTTGCCAATCTGTGCCCACAGTGAGTCAATGTACTTTAGGCGAAAAAGAGCAATCACTTACTGATTAAGAATTTAGCAACAAGGAAATAGCATAAAAAACACAGGAATAAAAAGTACTGTAATAATGAAGGCTACATCTTTTTACTGTCAAATTACATTAAATTTGAATGAAACTGATCAGACATGAACGTTGTAATTGTAACATGGAATTTAGTACCCTCTCACTAACAACAGCATGAAAAACACAGGAGTTAATGAGATTATGCTGATGGTTATGCTAATACAAAACAACATTATGCATCAGGAATGTGGTAACTTACATCTTCTTGGCGATGTGGCGCATCCAACATCCATACTCTTAGCATTGCCATATGGTTGTGTTTACGCTGACTGAAAATTTTTAAAAATAACAAAATAACCGCAATATTAAATTTGGTTGATTATTTATTATAATATGAATCTAAGAATTATCACACTATGATAATTTTATAATACTAAAAATGCATTACTATGCTTTCTATTAGTTATGTATGAGATGAGATTGAGGATGAAGAATAAATTTTATAGATAATCTTACCCAATGTATTTTTCAATAGTGTTTAAAATTTTATTAAGTTCCTGAGGTTTCTTATCATGAAGTTCATGTGCTGACTGTGAACAAAGAAAGTAAATACAGTAAATCAATTTTTATCATAAATCAAATGATTGAAATGACAATAAAATGCACAATTAAATAGTAATGATAGACAAAGACATAGGTATACAGATGTACCAGGAATTTGAAACAGACTGGCCTAGAGTCGGGGATGTTATGGGTCAAGACCACCTCAGTTCCACTGTTGATTAGGGCTGCAGTACAAACTCTTATGGTGATGGCCCACCTAGAAGAATGGAAATGGCACTCTCAGAATTTGAATGTAATTTTCTGTTTTTATCAATGATTTTTTTTTCAAAAACTTAAAGGAAGTGGTTGGTGCAGCAGGAACAGTTTGGTTTCCCAACCTCGAGGTCGGGTTTCAGTCCCTCACTGTGCATTTTGCTTGTCCTTGAGCAAGGCATTTTATCTTCGTTGCTTCTTGCCACACAGGAGTATGAAAGGGTACCTGGTGGGGGTTACCTGTCCTGCGCTGATTACCAGCAGCAACACTTAAAGCATGTGAACCAATGACCAGGGAAAAGAACTGCGCTTTATAACCTCAAGGAAGAGGCACATTATATATGCCTACACCAGTAAAGGCCCCCTTCCGAGTCTGCCTCTTATGTACTTCATTATCACATTTACGATTTTTGCTGCAGAAGATTGTATATAAAAAACATATACTGTGTGTTTTCATCAGGCAATACACAAATACAATAAATAATCAGTATAAAAAACAATTGCATTAAGTCAATTTGGGCCTATGAAATTGAAAATATTATAAAATCAATACTTTAGTCAGTACAAAAATATAAATAGAAATGTAATTGTAAAATAACAATGATTAAATTTTCCATTTTTGTTTACATGATCAATAGAGTTTACAACTTCAAATGGGAAAATAAATCAAAAATTATTTAACCCTGACAACTTACCCATGGCAACGATGAAAGCACAACATACACAAACCAATCCATTCGTACTTGTGGGACTCCATCCTCCTGCGTTGCACTTAAAAATGTCTCATACATAGCGATGATCGAGCTGTGATCTACCACGTGACAATTGACAAGATCACTCATGAAACGGATCATGGTATGCGATCTTATCCAATCACAAGCTTTTAAGGCTTCTTTTAACTTTCGCAACAGATTTTCCACAAACTAAAAAAAAAGTCCACAGATAAATTCAATACTGATTAGAGATATACATTTGTTACTGCCCTATGCAAAATCATTAAGGGCTACTTTTTCCACATTTGGAATCCAGCAGGCTTTCAATCTGGAAATGATCTATCCTAAAGGAAATCTATGGGAATAATTTATAGTTTGAATTTGTAGAAATTATAATTCCAAATTAATTCCTCTCCCACTATTTTGCAGCAGCAGTACACAAATATGAATGTCGATAAGCCTAATGGGAAGAATATTTACAAGAGTTGAAAGATTGACGGTTCCATTCAATGATGCAGAGCCGAGATGAATGAAACAGTCAATAATTTTTCAATGAATGAAAATATTCTTTCCATTGCTTGAATAACAAACTTTTATTATTTGTTCTATAACAAACCTAAAATAGATCCTTGTTACTTGATATTTTATGAGAAAATAGTGATTTAATTCTATCTTTTTCTCTAAATGGAACATTCCACTGTCTTTGAACCAACAAAAAAATTGCATGAGTTGAGGCATACAATGGCACAAAATGAATGGAACAAAAATGCATGGATGGAACTAAATAATCATGGTGAGTGATGAAATAATAATAAATAACCAATGTCACTTGATACGAAATCCACCAATCAAATGACTGGGACATATTCAGGTGTGTTATAATACATCGGGCCCACAACATCAGGACATGTCAACAACTAGCAAACCAGTCATTGTCTAATGAAGATCCATTGACAATGGATCAAAACGTCACAAACAGTACATATATTATTGGTGGAGTTACAATTTTTCTATGTTCATACATGATAGAAACCAGATGAAACTAATTGAGCTTAGATTTACAAAGGTTTTAATAAAATACTGATGAGCTTTTGTGTAAGGTCCATTATTAGAGGGTAATAAAGTGACAGTCGATGGTGATCAAAAAATACCCCAAAAAAGGCGATTATTATGTCTTCACAAAAGGCAGAGAATAATTTTTGATGGCCTTTAAACATGTATTAGATGCAAACAGATGCACTATGTATTCATGTATAGTACAGTATCTATTCAAACAATAATTTGAAATAAAAAATGTTCAAAACTTACCTCTCTACCACAGTTGTAATTTTTGGTATTCAGTAGACCTACAAGGGTGGTGTAAACTGTAGTCTTTTCAGGCAAGTCAGATGCGCTGCAATTTAAAATAAACCTCTTTAATGTATATTGTTTGTAAAAATAAAAAAATGGGAAAAATTTGATTTACAAAATTTAATTCTTCCTTTAAATGGAAAAAATAAGTTACCAACTTTTTAATTAAAAATTTTACATAACTTTTGCTTTGAAAAGTTTTAAAAATTATTTTGGTTGTAAAATGGAGATACCTGGAAAAAAACCAAAATAAAATCAAAAGTTATGTTGATACTAACCAGATGGACAGGATATCAATAATCTTGTGCTTGTAATTAGGTACATCTGCTTCCAAGACACCAGCAAGCCCCTCTAAGTTGCTTTCCAAGGAGGATGTGCTCTGTAGGTGGAGAGGAAACAGATGGCTGCAACATAGTGTTCATATATGACCTTTACAGTGCAGCATAGCTCAGTCAGTTAAACTGGTGGTGTTCTTTGGCACACCGTCTTTCGGAAGAGACGTTTAAGACACTGGTCCTGTGTGCAATATGGCTCATGTGCATGTTAAAGAACACAGTACTGTAAATTCTTCAGAAAAGGTTAATGGATTGTTTCCCGCCCAATCACCACAAGAAGGACCCCACTAGAAGTAAGTCTTCTGACTTTTGTGAGTTATCGTTGATGTTTACACCGAATAAATCCATGATACTTACAAAATTGTGTATTTTCTCGATTTAGGTACAGTAATGGATTTGAATTGTATTATTAAATAAATGTAATAAAAATTATTGTATTACGTTAACTTTACCTTCTCCCCAACTCTAGTGATAAGAGACTCAAGCCTTTCTTCAATCTCATCATGAACTGACTTTCTTCGTTTATTGAATGGTTGCGCTGACAAATAGAAATAATTTATGAGACATTTATTCCAATCCTCCGCTTCACATTTGTAATATTTTATCTTTAACATCAAACTAGAGATTTTATTAAATCTTTGATTGTTCTGCTGCCTGACTGGGGCACTTTACTGTAAAATCGAGCCTGTACATGCTCAAATTTAGCCATAAAATTATGTCAGCTCATTTCAAAATTATAGACTAATTTCCAAACAAATTTTGCAGACAATTATGCCTTGGCTATGTCTTGATATTTAACCATTATGCAGTATTTACAATTCTGCACATCTATTTTTCTAGCAATTTTCTACAAAATTCGGAGTTCACAAAAAAATGTACACCTATAACCCATGCAAAAAAATACTTTGGCAGACCTGGCACCCCTAGGATGCAGTGTAGATTAGTTTAGGCCTAGGGCCCAGCTAGGAGTAGGCTAGGAGTTTGTTTTGTTTTTGTTTTTTTAAAAGGTTAGGTCTAGAATGTATTACCTAAGCCATACTGTGGGGTAGGATTTCAAATAATTTGTTGTTGAATGGAGATAATTATTATGATAAGGGCCTAGGCCTAGCCCTCTCCATCATGCTTATTTATTCATCATTTGTAGGCTAGGCCTCTAGTGTCGTGAAATTGTTTGTAGCTTATGAAAATAAATATTTTTCCACCATTCCAAGAACCCTATCCCATTAATTTATCAGTACAGTAGTACAGTATTACACCATCTAGGCCTAGTAGGCTTTTGACCTAGCTAGTAGGCCTACTAAAGCGTCGCCATGCGTATGAACACCAACACACAAATCCACCGTGACCGTTCACACACAACAAAATGATGCTAACTAGACTATAAAGGAGGCCGGCTTGGCTAGCTAGGCCTAAACAAAAAGACAATGTTAGCGATCAAATACATGCGATAGGAAATGCAAGTTTGGCAACTTACCGACATCATCATCATCTACACTGTATTTTCTTCTTCTGGACATATTTAAGAAGTTAACCTCCCAACAGATCAAACAAACGAGTACTGTACAAAATAAATAATCCTTTCTCTTGTCAAACGCGATCGACTTGATCTTTTTGGACGAACGTGCTAAAACTCGAGCGGGTAAAATTGGGGGCGCTTTCTTAGCTTCGACTTCGGCCAAACAAACAATCATGGCAGCCTCCATGCTTCGTAATTCAATATGCGTAAACACCGAGAGCTTACGATACTTTTTGGGTAAATATTTATTACTGTGTACCGATTTTTAAAAATAAATAAGTACTGCACGCAATAAATGTCGTTATTTAGTCATGTAAACGTGGATCGGAGCCGGAGAGAGCTTATATTCCTAGCTTACTTAGAAGGCTAGGCCTGCTGTGAGATAGAGTAAGGTAGACCTGTCTATGACTGGTGTGCGTACGTGCGGGTACCCACTGGTACCACCAGCCTGGCCACGCAGGTACTGTAGGTATAGTGTAAGCCTAGTGTTGTGCGGTCCTACTAAGGAAAAAAGTCCTACTGTATTTTATTATTATTATTATTGAGCATGTCATGGAATCCTATAAAAATAAATTTCAAGTATCTCTGGCCGAGTTAGGCCCATATACATAAAGTTATTAATAACAGTTGACCCATCGTAATGGTTTTGTATTATGTATGGTATATATTGTATTAAGAAATCTTTTCAACTATTTTCTGAGGATATTTCCACCAAAAAAGAAAATAAAAAATAAAAGAAATAATCTATGAGGCCTCTGACTAACCCTCCCATCAATGTTTTCTCCACCTTGCATTCCTAGGTAAGGGGCACTTCAATAAATTCTCATTAGGATGAGGGAGGGGACTATCAAATGTTTTTTTGTATGGCCTAAACCAAAGAAGGACATAGAGCATGCCTCTGCCTAGACTTTTTTTTATAAATATTATTATAATCGTAATCATTAAAGTAAATGAACTGTTTTCCCCTCAGGTCTAAACAAAAGACTTCATATCCTCAATACACCTCACAGATTGGCCTCTGAGGATACAAGCAAGTCAAAATCCACACCGTTGAAGAAGCCAAATACTCCAGTCGGTAAATGGGACAAATCAGAGAAGCATCCTCATATGGAACAGGAACCTTTGGAAGCTTTTCCAAATGATGTAAATCCAGTAACAGGAGAGAAAGGTGGTCCTAGAGGTCCGGAACCAACTCGATATGGAGATTGGGAACGAAAAGGACGATGCATTGACTTCTGAATGGCATGATTGTTATCTTATCATTCACTTCTATTTTCTATAGTGTCATCAGAACTTTACTATCAATTTATAATATATATTCATTTTTGGCACTGTGTTAGAATACTTGTTTGCTTGTCAGATTACACTAGGTATCTGATTGAAAAGATAAAAGAAAAGAATTAATTCTGTAATAGTATTTTCATCGCTCAAGATCAGTTGTAATGATGAATAACATTTACCCTGTATTATGGTGAGTTGGGCAATACCCTATGTACATCTTATGAAAGGTATTTTTGATCCATTATTTCACAAGGAGAGAAATGTGATGGAGTAAATTTTAAAACACACACACAAAAAAAAAACAAAAAACAGGAGAGATTCAACTCAAATTTGTTGTAGTACATTGATTGCGTACAATGTACAATAGTTATCAGCTTTCTCTGTTATATGAAAGCCTAAATTGTGGTTAAGTTTAGGTGGTTGCATGGCTGATATTGTAGAGTAATAATTAAATTCTACAAGCCTGGTTCTCACGAGAGCCCTAGTATCTGGATCGGGAGCTAACCATTAGCGCTAACCATTAGCACCTGCGTGAGAACGCCCGATCGGTTAGCGCTAACCGTTAGCGGTATCCGGATAGGCTGACGGTTAGCAAGCACTATCGGTTAGCAAGTTGAGGGCGTTTCTATCATCAACCAATCACACGTACGCGTTTACAATTTCCAGTTTCTTATTGGCCAGTGATTCGATCATCATATTGTTGGTATCCGGGTCGAGATTTTCTCGCATGGACGCACGGCAGCTAACGGTTAGCAGGATCCGGATCCTGCTAACCGTTAGCTTCCGTGTGAGAACATAGCCACAATGTAGATAAACTACTGGTAGTGTTAAAACTGAGTAGTGTTGTAATTATTATTACAGTATTATTATTAAATTATTAATATTGTTGTTGTTGTTGTACTGTATTTTATCCAGTTTAAACATCAATGTGATACTGTCTGTATTGTGCTATTTGAACAATAAATCAACAATTGAGTTGCTTAATTTGTATATCATGTAAAATACTTTAAAATAACCAAACAACTACTAAGCTATAACAGAACAAAAGCTCACCCTTTACAAACAATCGTGATAAAAATGGGTCATTTAAAATAAAATTCCCATTTAAAGTTTTTAGCTTTCAATCGCTATACCGTAAAAACTCGAATAGAAGCCCAATGGGCTCAATCTTGAGATGAAGCCCATCTCGAATTAAAGCCCTCCTCTTAGTTTGCAAAAGTAGCCTAAGAAATTCGAATAGGCCTATTGGCAAATGCCGTAAGCAATTCCAAATATTTACAGTATTCGTTTTGAAAAGAAGCCCCTTTCTTAGTTTGCAAAAGTAATCTCGAAAAGTAGGCCCTTTCAATAGTCCTCAACAAAAAACAAAAAAAGAGAGCAGTCCGGGGTTTCTATTCGAATGTTTACGGTATGCCCACTTGCCACAAGTTATTTTTTATTATTTTTCTCATTCTGGACAGCGCCACCAACGAAAAAGTAAATTTAGAGATAAAACAAGAAATCGAGTATGGGACGCCAATTAAATTAGGTATGGCGTGCAATAAAGAGTGAGTAACCTAAAATTAGGGCCTGGAACCCAGGCTAACTTGCAAGCTGCAGCTTTCAGTCTGTTTGATGTTGTACCGTCACAGTCCGTATCCCGTGAGCTTATTGGGTGCTCAAATGATATATTGCCGTAAAAAAAAACCTATAGGATTTTTACACCTGGTAAATTCCAATTTAATAATAGTAATATAATACAGTAATACTGTAATTTTTTTAAAGTTATTATATTATTGTTTTGTTTGTGGGGCACCACCACGTGGGTATTTCTGAAAAGACTATGCCACTGTTGTTATACCTCCGCCAGAGGAGGTAAATTTTATTCACAGGTGTCTGTTAGAAAGGAAATATTACCTTTAGATGGTCGGAAATGAGACTTTTATACAGTAAAATTCACCATTAGGCAAAAAAAAAAAAAAAAAAAAATATTGTGTTGGCTAAGTTTTGGGAAAATCCAAAAATGGGTATGTCGGTAGAAAAACTTAGTCTTAGTCTAAGGATATTCCAGCCTTATAAGCTCATGAAAAAAAATATTGTAAAAAAAAAAAAAAAAGCTAAAATGCCGACCCTGAATTTCATAAAATTTGGGCCGGTCGGGCGTGGCCAACACAATATTTTTTTTTTATTTGGCCTTATCACACCATCATTATTTATTCTAGATGAAGTGCCAGCAAATTTCTCATGATCTTTAATCAGGAATTTTCGGCAACAACAGAGATCTAATTAATACGAGTGATGTACCATAGAAAATAAAACCAAAGAAACACTTTCATTGAAGTATTTAATATACTCGACCTACCTCAAGGCCGTGTGGCCACATTCACCCCAGCCCCACCATGATTGGGGCTTGAGGTGAGAACATTTTAGGAAATAGTACCTCAAGATGACCGGAAATGACACTTTACAATAGTAAAATTCATCATCATCCCATCACCATTATAATATAGTCAAAATTAAGCGCCAGCAAATTCTCATGATCAGCTATTTTCGGCAACCATAAAAATCTAATTAGATGTGTGATGTACGTTACCATAGAAAATAAAATTTAAAAACATTGTTTTTGATGTACTATTTACTTTACTTACTTCAAAACTGTGAGTCCACACGTCTCTTAGCTCCACCACAGTTGGGGCTGAGGTGGTAAAATTTGGGGAAATTGTACCTAGATTGCTGGATATGACACACTTATATAGTAAAATTCATCATCATCGATCTAATTAATCGTTGTGATGTACCATAGAAAATACTACTTCATGTGCCGAAACCCAATCTTATCTTTGCACGCCTTTTCTCATAGTCTCAAATTATAATAAAGGCACTCGAGTCGGATAGGTAATTCAGATGTTTGTGGGCAGAGATACAGGTATCTTGCTATAGAATAAGATGTACTCTGGCTGTACAGCGCACTTTCGTTAAAATCTGGATCATTTATGCATTTATGTCAACAATTTTCAGGCATATTTCTTGACTCGCGAAAACTGACGGGACCAACCCTTACCCCATAAAAAAAAATGTGAGGGGACGTTTACAGGGGTGGCGCCAGCGGGGGGGGGGCGGGGGGGGGCCTTCGTCGGGGAGAGCTCCCCCCCCCCACCCTTCGTCGGGGAAAGAAACCACAATTCGTCGAGGAGAAAAAGCAATCTTGTACATATTAGTAGACTCTAAAATCGATTAAATAAGCCTTTGAAACCCCTTCGCCCCCTAGACCACTTTCGAGGCATTTAAAGCGACGTTCGACCACGCCAACTTTATTCTCGCCGGGGAAATGTTCCCCCTCATCGGGGACATCGCCTCCCTCGGGGACCTCGGACCCTCCCCACGTCGGGCAAATCCTTGCATTACCACTGGACATTTACGGTACCCCTGGACGTTTACCCCTTCCCACATGATCTGCGCCCATGGGTGCGTGAGAGTCCACCACCTCAACCCCAACATGGTTGAGGCTGAGGTGTGAACATTTTGAGAATATGGACTCTATGTACCCTGAAAATCTTACCAATAATTCATATCAACAATATAATACAACAATTATTTTTTATGCACCCCCATGCATCCGCCCCAGAAGGGTGTTTGACGAAAATTTTGGAAATGGTTGAGCCACCATTTTTGACAACATTTTAAACAAATGTTTTCTCTGGAGCCTTCCTTAAATTGTCATCTTAAATAATAACAAAAGTGAGGTCAATTATCGCAGCCGAAATTGATCTCCTCACCCATTATAGTTTTCTCCCACCATTGCTTTTTCTGCATTGGGGTAGAGGCGGACTAGGTTTGTCTTTGTGTATTATAATTTCGTTTACGTTTGTCAATTACCAACTTCGGACACATGATTTACTTCGAATGGTCTCTGGTTATATAATAAATGGTTTGACATAGCGCACAATCATGGTGTTGAATAACATATAATATACCCGATTCCAGCATATAATATCAAAATATACATAGGCCTATACATATACCAATATAAATTATTGTATTGAGATATCATTAAAGGGTGACTTGATTGTCTAAATCAAAATAATTTACTGTTTAAATATTAGTGTATATTGTTTGGTTTCCGCATTATTTGTTTATCATGACGTACGACGCCAATAATGCAAAACTCATAGATAAGCCCTAATAATAGTACTGGTATAGAAGGTCTAATACCCTACATCGATTGATGACCACAATACATAAGACCGGAAAGTACATAACAATGGCTCTATTGTCATTGGTATACAGGAGTTCCTTTATAGAGCGAATGATCATAACCTTACTCAGTACTCATTATATTGTGGACTTTCCAACTATCAATTCGTTTGGCACTGCTTGTCATTTCCCTATATTCACAGGCCACATTTACAGCATGATGACACAGTCAAAACCTATGAAAGTACTCGTCATAGGGGATTTTATGTACGATAAATATCATTATGGAAAAACTACGAAAATTAGTTGCGAGGCGTTTCTGCCGGTTTTCGGAAAGGAGCACTTGGATATCCGCTTGGGAGGCGCAGGAAATGTGGCCCTAACCTGTCACCATCATGCTGAAGTTACCCTCGTCTCTGCTTTTCTGGAAAACGAGTGTCCAGCAGTTCCGTTCAAACTTGTGAATCTTCCTGGGAAAACGGTGACAACGGTGAAAGAAAGGTTCATCATAGGAGAAAGGCACGTTTTTCGCAGTGATCAGGAGAAATATGAACCGATTAACATTGATGATGTGAACACAGACGGGTATGATGTTATTTTGATCTCAGATTATAACAAAGGTGTTATTCATTCGCCGCAGAAACTGATCAGGAATGCCAAGTGCCCGGTGTTGGTGGACCCAAAAGGGGACGATTGGTCGAAATATGCAGGAGCATACTGCCTGAAGCCGAACCTCAAAGAGTTCGAGAATGTCTGCGGAAAATTCACCGTTGAAAACGCGAGAACAGCTTTAAAAACGTACAAAATTGAGGCAATCCTGGTAACATTGGGTCAAAATGGTGTTACATGGGTGACGCTTGATAATGAAATCCATATCGGAGCTACTGCGGAGAAAGTTGTCGATGTCACAGGTGCGGGCGACACATTCATATCCATATTCGCGTGCTACTTGAACGAATCTGATGTCGGGGACACGGTAAAAATTGCGAATACGGCAGCAGGCGTCGCCGTGGAACACTTCGGGACTTACGTAGTGACTAAACGAGATATTTGGGGTCAAATCCAGCATGATGGGTTAACAGGCACAACAAATGAAGTGCAGCCCGTGATTCCGTACAACTATAGCATTGGCACTACGCACGATATACTCCCAGTACATAAAGTTACCCCAATGCAGAAATGTCAAGAAAAGGTTAGCCCTGAGGAGCAAGAAGAACAGTCATGTAGAAGAGGTCAAGCCACGAAGGAGAAGTCATTTGAATCTGGATGGAAGTCTACTAATGGCGTAGAACCCATGACAAACGCATCTGATCAGTCCATAATGACTCGTCAAAGTAAGAAGAAAGAGGTGGTTGTATTCACCAATGGATGTTTTGATATCGTTCATGTCACCCATGTCAATCTTCTGCAGAAGGCAAAAAGGTGAGCGGTCAAGGTTTTTCCCCATTCCCTCTCGTGGGAAACTTGATATTTTATTCATTCGTCCATCCCTGTGGCTCTCGAAGTTAGGCAAAGATATCTTCGTCTCTCTGCAGGAAATAATACATCCGGGTATATGCAAAGGGGAGGGGGTCGGGAAGGACGTACGACCCCCCCCCCCCC